CAGATTTCGTGGCAGGCACAGCACTTGGTGAACCTCGAAGTGCAGATTTCGTGGCAGGCACAGCGCTTGGTGAACCTCGAAGTGCAGATTTCGTGGCAGGCGCAGCACTTGGTGAACCGCGCATGGTGAACCTTCAAGTGCAGATCGTGACAGGCACAGCGCTTGGTGAACCTCGAAGTGCAGATTTTGAGGCAGGCGCAGCACTTCTCACCCTTGTTCATTTGATCTGTGCTCTCAGATGTGTGCTGACAACGTTTACTCTCAATCACGCTCACAACGCCCACGCTCAGTCTGACTCGCAGAGGTTTTAATTCTCATTCACGCTCACACTCACTCGCTCATGGAGTCACTTGCCTTGCTGCGTGATGTGGTCAGTGTGCTCTCAGATGTGTGCTCTATAGACCTCTGACTCTTGTCGGTGCACCTGGCGCGGTTTTTATTTAGGTGCACAGCTCTCGGATGTGTGCTGACAACGTCTACTCTCACTCTGACTCTCTCGCTCTCAATCACACTCACAACGCCCACCTCATTCTCAAGCCACATAGTACATGCCTGGTAGCTCACACATGCCGAGAGCGTGGGCGTTGTGAGTGTGATTGAGAGCGAGAGAGTCAGAGTGAGAGTAGACTTTGTCAGGGCACATCTGAGAGCAGAGATCAAATCTGGCGTGGGTGGAACCACGCCAGGTGCACCGACAAGAGTCGGACGTCTATCGCATCTCAGAGCACGCTCACCGCTGCCTCACAGAGCTTCTCATTCTCAATCGCGCTCACACTCACTCGCCCATTCACTCACTTGCCTTGCGTGTGATGTGGTGAGTGTTCTCTCAGATGTGATAGACCTCTGACTCTTGTCGGTGCACCTGGCGTGGTTCCACCCAGGTACTACTTGTCTATGTTTTTTCGTTGCAGGTGGACCTGGCGTGGTTCCACCCAGGTACTTTTGGCTAACTTTGGTTTCGAAACGTTTTCCTTCGCGCTTGCTGTGTTTTTCACCAAACAGTGTGGGCACACAGAGGGGTTCTTGCGGTAAGTGAAAAGCAGGTATGCTTAGATCGCTGTTCCGCGCGGCCGTGTCCGGCTCATTTGCTGCTATTTACAGTACACTCATGCCTCTCGACATCGTCCGTGTGCATTTCGACTGCGCAGGCTCGCAGAATCTGGGTGTGGTGCCGTGCACATTTTCGTAGGTGGTGGTGACTTTTCGTGGCAGGCGCAAGGGAAACCTCGTGTTTTGGTGCTCCAAAGTCGACTTTTCGTGACAGGTGCAAGGGATCGGAGCTGTTTCACTTCGAAGTGCAGTTTTCGTGGCAGGCGCAGCACTTTGGACATGGTGGTGATCGTCGAATAGCTCAGATTTCGTGACAGGTGCAGTGAACCGTGGCTTTTGGACATGTGGCTCGTTTGCAGATTTCGTGGCAGGCGCAGCACTCTGTGACCCTTGGTGTGCAGATTTCGTGGCAGGTGCAGCGCTTTGTGAACCTCGAAGTGCAAATTTCGTGACAGGTACAGCGCTTTGTGAACCTCGAAGTGCAGATTTCGTGGCAGGCGCAGAACTTGGTGAACCTCGAAGTGCAGATTTCGTGGCAGGCGCAGCGCTTGGTGAACCTCGAAGCGCAGATATGGTGACAGGCGCAGCGCTCTGTGCCCCTCAGTGTGCAGATTTCGTGGCAGGCGCAGCGCTTTGCGAACCTCGAAGTGCAGATCGTGACAGGCACAGCGTTTGGTGAACCTCGCAGTGCAGATTTCGTGGCAGGCGCAGCGCTTGGTGAATCTCGATGTGCAGATTTGGCAGGCGCAGCACTTGGTGAACCTCGAGGTGCAGATTTCGTGGCAGGCACAGCGCATGGTGAACCTCTAAGTGCAGATTTCGTGACAGGCGCAGCACTTGGCGAACCTCGAAGTGCAGATTTCGTGACAGGCACAGCGCGTGGTGAACCTCGCAGTGCAGACTTCGTGGCAGGCACAGCGCTTGGTGAACCTCGAAGTGCAGAGTTCGTGGCAGGCGCAGTACTTTGTGCATCCACTTTCACTCACACTCACACTCCCTCACATTCCCACACTCCCTCTCACCCACGCTCACTCACACCCACCTTCACTTCATCACCACCATCACCTCTCTGGACCCAAATGCGTCTAGAGCTCTAGACTTTCTGCTTACAGACCTCACACACACACTGTTTGGGGTCTCTTGCCGGGATAAAATTTTCAACTTTTTTTTTGTAGCTATAATTAATAGCTAGTAGCCATTGGGTACTAGACGCTCCTAGGCGCAGGATAGCTTACAATTCTTCAAGGAAACTTTTTCTTTCTTGAAGAAGCGCTTGCACTAATCAGTATTCATTTGATTCCTAGAATTTTTGGAACAAACAGAGATTTGTCATCCGGCAGATGAACAGAGTGCGTTAGCTTTTGCAGCTACACAGCTGATGTATGCTGACTTGTGGCATTCTCATTTTTGCAATCAGAATCTCCTCGGGTGCCTTTGTTGTTCCGCATCCAGTTCCTGTTTGGGTTGACACTTCTTCGTTACTTTTGCTCAACCCAACGCATTTGTCTCTGGCTGGTTGGCTGACTGAGGGTCTCTCCATGAAAAAGGTCAACCTGAATGGGAAGAGCCTGTATGTTGCCTTGGACGTCTTGTATATACTCTTATTGCCTTCGGCTTGTAAGGTCACACAAGCTGTTTTGGATGCCTGGTCGATCCTTCAGGAGTGGATGTTGGAGGCCTCGACAGTTTGGACATTCATGACCAAACATGATGCAGGATGCAGACAAAAGGAAGGCCTACGATGCTGTCTGGCACAAGACAAGGACTGCTGCCTTAGGACCTTTAGCCCAAAGATCACCTTTAGTTTCCGTTTGAGGAATGAAGAACTAGCAGCTGCAGTTGCAGAGGCCAGCACAAAGCGCGAAAGTGCAGCGAAACTCTTCTGAACCTTTTAAGGACAGTCATAGACTCATAGACCTGTCATACTGCTCTCAGCTAAATTCAGCTGCAGGCACGACGACGGGAGGGGAACGAGCTTTACAAGGAAGCGCAGGTGGACATGGACACAGTTTGCCTCGCTCACCAAAGCTCTGGCACTTGCATATTTGTTGAAGACAGGCACTTGCCAAAGCTTCCGGCCCTGACAGTGAAGAGCCTAGCGCTTTCAAAGTGTTGCTTTTGTCACCTTTGCCGCGGCAACAAAGACTTGCTTGCAGCATCTTTCGCTGGCATTTCAGGTCTGTCGGCTGCAACAGCTGCATTGTCGAAGTACCAGGCGCTGCAGTCCAAGGGTTCACCTTTCGTGTCCACAAAGTTTCAGTATTTATGGCACCTTGCATGCGTTGCGTTTGCCAGGCAGCAATCGAGAAATACTCGGAGGGCATAGACCTGGCACCAACGGACTGACACCTTTTCTTGGCAGTTGGCCCACTTTTTGGTATGTTTGGCATGACCGTAAGTGTTTCCAGGATCACCGCATCCGCAGCAACCGAGCTTTGTGCTACAGTGCCTTGAAGGACCGAGACGCTTTTACATTTGTTTGCCCGCTCCTACTAAATTAAGTAGGCGCCTGCTTGATTGAGTAAGCTACTGTACTAGCAGCTAAGAAGCTACTACCTACTGGACGCAGGATAACTCACGCTTCTTCAATGCAAAGAAGCTCCCCTCGCCTGAGGGCGGGGGCGAGCTTCCTTGAAGAAGCGTTCGCACTATTCATTGGGTTCCTAGATTCAAAGTGCCTACTGAAATTCACGGTGATATTCACAGATCACCTTTGAATCTAAGCCTAAACCTTGTTGTTGAATCTTGGGTTGTGCAGTCTACACTCGACGAATCCTCTCCACGTTTAGTTGTGAGTTTATCACTGTGCTGAAAGAAATGCAACATGCATTCTTTTGCTAGCTGCTAGCTCCTTCCAACCAAGTTGCAGTTCTGCTTCAAAGTTCCTGTCGCTAGCTTTGCCCACTGTCCGTATTCTTTAGAAAGTGAATGGATGAGTTTTTGGTTTAAGAAGATGGATGAGCATTGCAGCCTTTGGCTGTGAAAGTGCGGACTGTGCCACCTCACCCTGCTGCCAATACCATTTGGATGCCCACGCATCCTGTGAAAACCAGTCAGCCAGCAAGGCTTCCTTTCCTAGTGAGGAGGTTCAAACTTCTCTTTGGCAAACCAGCACTGTGAGCAGGTGATTTTTTCAGTTTTTCTCGAAGAATTGTTTTGTGTCTTGCCATTTTGGGCTCCGCAATGCACACACACAACCTGACACTTCTCTTCAAGCATTCAGATATCCAAGTAAGAAATTGTTCAATCGAACATCGACAAATATCAAACACACCTAATACCAACCAATCCAAAAATACAAACAGTGCAATCCAGTGCAGGAAACTTCCTCCTAACCTTTCCTGTAAATCTTTTGATACTTTTGGTATTCGTATTTTTGGAGTTGGAGACATTCAACACATACCAAACGTGTATGGCAAGTTTCCCCGGCACCTCACTCCTCACAAGCCATCTTTGTCAGGCAGACATGGGGAGAGTTTCATGGAGCCTGACTTTCGGTGACATGGGCTAGCCAAATTGACTTGACACGTAGTTTCGTTGGCAGCCTCCAACAGGACTGGCAAAAATGCAAGGAGGACACGTTCGCAGATCACCTTTATGTATTGTAGTTGCCAGCAAAAAAATCGTCAAGCCTATTCTTACAATACCAGGATGCTGCAGCTGTTATTGAGATGAGGCCTGACTTCATGAAGGGTGGGGAGCCAAGAAGTTTGTCTTCCAGTTCGGTGCAAGAACAATGTGACAGGGGAATGTTGTCGATTCACAGCAAGGTTGGTTCTTGCTTGTCAAAGCATTTTGGAAGGAAGGCAATCCAGTCACTGTCTGAAGCTTGGATGTTGTTGCACGCATTCTTCATGGACACGATCGATGGTCATGGCTCATTGGCAATGCTGGAGGGCGTGTGTCTTACAATCTCAGGCTCAGCGCCAACTGGAGTTGGGATTGCAGGCTGTGGGTCCATGTAAACGTCTGGTCACTCATGGAAGGAATACTGGTGCCTACCTAAGCCTTTATCCACTTGCAAAGGCCATCCCCGACAGCTCCGAGCTGTCCTTGGCTCAGAGGAAGTTATATAATGTAGATGTTTAATCAAGCTTCCTGCTGCAACTGCTACTGCCTTCTTTATTTTTCTTTTCTATGTATATACTTTCATCAAAGGCCATTGCAACTTTTCTGTCATTGAAGGCATTTGTGTTTTTAATTTTTGTGACCTTTCACGACACCAAGGCTCGCGCTGCAAGAAGAGCTTGCCCCAGAGGTCCAGGCAGAAGTTTATACAATACAGGCATTGATTGACTAAGCCGGCATTGCACCCCTCGTTTTGTGCATCACTCACCCTGAAGGCTGCTTGCAACGGGGACTTACTACCACCGGTGCCCAAAGGTAGAGCTTTGCCTGAAAATAGGAGAGTGGTGAGTGAAAAATAGTTGTAGTCACTAGTTGGAGAGGGGGGAAGCAAAGTAGCAAACAGCTCAGAAGTTTGAGACCAACTCAGGAAGTAGCAGAAACGTGTCGCCTTCATGCACACCCGTGCAAGGCCACCAACAGTTTGCATTGTGAATGTGGTTTGCAAACGGCTTGCAAGCATGTGTTCTTCGAGGCAATTCAAGATCAGGCTCTAGGGTTGCCACACCGCCTCCTGTGCGCGGTGCATCCAAATCGCTTTGGCCTTGGCATTTTTGAGCATTCGTGGCCAACAGCATCGCCGTTGAGGTCGGGTCGCCAAAGATCAACATCGCGTTCTCGATACCCCAGTGCTTGTCTTGTTTCGGAATTCTTGACATGGCACATACGCAAAGAAGTTGACATCTTAAATCCAAGTTGTAGCTGCTGAGAGAAAGTCCAGGTGCAGGTGCCGGTGCCTGGGAAGACACAGCGAGATTTGGAGAAGAAGCAGAAAGGACAGGGCTTTTTGTCTTCTTGGCAATGCAGAGAAGGTTCAGAGCTTCTCCCTTGTGATTGGAAGCAACAGTAAGCCAAAAAACATTTGTATACCTTAGATACCCTTAGATGAACTTGGATGTCTGCAATACTGGAAGCTACGCATGATTTGCTTTACCCTCAGCTTCTGAGCGGAGTTCCTATAATTCTACCATTCACAGGACTGCGCAATTTGGCTCCTACATGGCGGTGCGGACCGGTTTTGTTGACACGGGCCTGGTTTTGTCTACCATTAAAGCACATCTCTCGAACACACCGAAGTTTGTAGAAACAAGGAAAGCAAACGAGAGCAATACATTTCACACACGGTGAAACTGTGAAACCCATCAAGTCCGAGCCATTGCAGGGTCATTGCAGCTCCAGTCCTATGCCGTGAGTCCCTTAGTTTCCTTCCGCTCGTAAGCTGTGATGATTTTGTCATTCATTTGACACTTACTTCTTTGTTAAACGTTGCACTTGGCATGCGTGGCAAGTGTGCCCTACCAAGCGTATTTTTTGTTTGTTATGTTTCCATACATAATACAGTTTTGCATTATGACCCTGAAGACAACCTTCCCTTCACGCGAGAATCTTGCATTTTTGGGTGGGTGGGTGGGTGGGTCGGTGGGTGGTGACTCTTAGCGCTAGCCAACTTTTGGAAGATTAAGATTGAAGTTGTTTGCTCGACACACATTTGGAGCCTTTTCAACAGAATCTCAAAGCACAGTGAGCTAAGACCCGTGAAGGTAGCCTTACATGCTTTCTGCTCTTCCTTGTAACGTTGGCTGTGCCCAAGCATGCCATTCATGAATCTTGGGCATTTCCAGCAAACCTTCGTCTTCAAATCAAAGCAAAGAGCAATGCTCTTTCATTGGATGCTTGCGTTCTGATGTTACTCTATCAGATTGAAGCTTTAAAGGTACACGGTATACATCCTCTGAGAATTCACATAGACATGCAAGGCCTCCATCCCCACCGCCGCCACCGCAGCTCTCTCAGTTTGATGTGTTCCATTAATATGCACATACTGTAATTGTACATATATATATATATATATAAATAAATACATCATCCGACTGATGCCTGTCAGTCATGAAACACGTGCTCATTTGTGTGGAATACAGAGTACGGAATGATTGGTGATGCATGGTTGCTGTTGACATGCACCTGGTTTGGGGCTTGATCAGGCGAGAAGGTGGATCGACACCGCCACCACCACCAATTTCGCAACGTACAAAGGGATCTTCCCTGGCTTCTATGGCTGGGAACCTACGGCCGAATCCAGCCGATCAACTCTGGGGCTAAAGGTTTCTCGTTTCTCATGGTTGGCTGAGAAACGCTTTGTTGGATGCACTGGAATTCCTTAGGCAGCCTCGAGCCGGCTGGGAGTCCATGGCACTTGAGCCTCGAGCACATCCTCTGGCAACGTGTTGGTGCTCCCCATTTTTAATCTCTCCAATCCTTGCAACTCACGTTCTCAAAGAAAGAGTGTCTGGTACATCTGATACGTTCACTGGGCCTTGTGCTTTTTCAACCTTTTCAAGTGCTGACGATTCTAGTGGAGAACTTCGTTATAAAGGTGCGCGTTTTGAAGCAGATTCAGCAATCAGCCGCTTGAGTTGCGGCTAGCTGTGTAAAAAGGATGACCTTCCGTTGTGATTTGCACGGACAAAGTGTTTCACACCGGCCGCAGAAGCGCTCGTGGCCAGAAGCCAATGTTGACAACAGACAGATGGCTTAATAAATTGTGCTGGCACTTGCAATGGCAATGCTACATGAAGCAATATGCTCACATAAATCTGAATGCCTCCAGTACTGATTCTTGTGCTGGACTGGCTGTCCAGGTTCTATGGTTGCTCATGGCACCTCCTCAGAACCTGTCACACCACGAGCGGGACAGCGCAGGGATTCTGTACTAATGCATATGATCAAGACCAACGTATTCAGTGTTGAACGGTGAGTTCATGAGAGACTTGACATGTGACATCCTTGGTTCGTGCCGTTTCACACCTTCAAGGGAGGGCAGTCATGACGGACAGCCGCAGAGCGGTGAAAACATGGAGCGCTGCATAGCAGAGGCCTACTCTTCTTGAGAATCCAGGGACATACACATAGAGCAGTCCAGGCTCCACAACCAAGCGCACAGCTGGAACGGTAGATTCCTCAAGCACTTTTACCTGTTCGCGTGCAGCGCCCACAGCGACTACATGATGGAAGACTTCTACTCATGGCCTTGATGGTGGCGCCGGTGAAGAGGAGGCCTACAAGTAACGACGATGTGGCCGTGGCTGACGAGGAGGAGGTCACCTCAGCCTCGCGACGGAGGCGATGCCACAGTTGTTCCACTTTCTTCGCCCCCTTCGGTGACGAGCTCAACTCGATGAAGACGAGGGCAACGCGGAGGTGAAGAGAAGAAAGAGAAGACAGAAGAGATAATCGGTGGTCAGGTCAGGCCAAACTCCACTGCCGCCACCATTTGGATCGAATAACACGAGAGTTCTTGCCGCCTAATGAGCAGGCTCTCAGGGCACTGGCAGCGCTCAAATTCCAAGATGTCAGCGACGATGACAAAGTCGATGTGGACAGCGGAATCGAAGTGCTCCTCCAAGAGTTGGACAATTGGCGAGAAGGAGCTGGATCGACGACGGGGGGTTATTCGCAAGTACGAAACTCTCACTCGCACACAAGGAGAAAACGTAACCGCCTTTCTGCAACGCTTCCAGCGCATCGAGCGAAACTTTGATTTCAAGTCATGGTTTGACGTTCGCCGGCGTGGCGTGTCCTGGCACAGTTGCTTTGTCTTTGACCGCGCCTCCGGTGGTCATGGCCGAGGACGAGGAGGACAAGGACGCAGTTGACACTTTGGAGCGCCAACTACCTCATGGAGATGATGAGTAACGGGCCGACGCCTGGGATGCTTGGGAAGCTGGTGATGAAAGAGCCTTATGAGGAGCAGCGCTATGATGCTCAAGAGACCGTGGAGGACGGTGGTGGCCCCTAGGAGGATGATGGCTTCGTCTATGACTCTGGATTTCTCCCAACGACAAGTCCCAATGAGAGACGACCACAACAGCATGGACCCAGCCAACTACCTGGGAAGCATGTGGCGAGACCCTGGATGCCAACTTCATAGCTGCAGGATCCCGAAGATCCCAAGGGCCGGTCTACCCGACGCTCGTTCAACTTTTCTTGATGCCATGCCCAGAATCTCAACCAGCTTTGCTGAACGTCGCGTGGAGATTGACATCTCTGCCTTGAGACAGAACTGTCAGACCTTGAAATGGGTGCCTAGCGAGGAGTCGGACAACGCGACGAAGCGATCGTCGCAGCTTCGGGATGAAACAACCATCCATCTCGCTGAAGAAGGCCAAGGACGCTCAAGATGGCGGTGGAAATGGAAGCTGGAGGACGCCACAGTCAACAGAAGAATTGACCAGTGTTGAACGGTGAGTTCATGAGAGACTTGACATGTGACATCCTTGGTTCGTGGCCGTTTCACACCTTCAAGGGAGGGCAGTCATGACGGACCGCCGCAGAGCGGTGAAAGCATCGAGCGTTGCATAGCAGAGGTCTACTGCTCTTGAGAATCCAGGGGCATACACATAGAGCAGTCCAGGCTCCACAACCAACATATATGACCAAAACCAAGGTATCCAGCACACTTGGCAAACTTTAGGATTGGACATCTTTCTCTCATCGCAACACGTTGTTCCTTGCCAGGATGCCATAGGCAATACCCCTTTGCATCAAGCAGCTGCTGGAGGAAACTTGGAGTGCGTGGCCAAGGCTTTGCGCTTTGCTATTTGCCTCACACTTGTAGGATATGATCTAGAAGATAGTGTAGGTTGGAGGCCATCGCTATTGTATAGGTAGGGGTTGGCAATTTTCCTCTTGGGTTGGCCAGGGGTGGGGCCCAAAACGGTGTTCATCTGAGCCCCTGTGTTGCATCATGGCCCCGGCCCTGGCCAACCCAAGAGGAGGAGTGGCCATTTAAGTATGGATGATATATATATATATACACGTCCTAAACATTTAAGCCTGCTCAGTTGGGATCCTTTAAGGTGTGCAAAATGCCTTATGGCTCAGGCGCCGAGTATGCAATACTACCACACCTTTTGGAACCATCCTTGACTCTTCTTGAAGGGGTGTGATGTCCTGGCGAAGAATGACAGAGGGCACACTCCATTTGCCTTGTGCACGGATCCGGAGGCATGGCAACTTTCAATGTGACCGCAAAGTTATCGAATAATTGCACATGTGCAGGTTCAGCAGCTTCTACAGAACGCGATGAATGCAACAGCATGCAAGGCCAGGTTCCTTTTGGTCCCCCAGATCCTGGCGTTCTGCCACTTTGGAGTGAGGCGTCCGGAAAGCAGTTCTCCTCAACGGTGCTGAGATACTTGTGCTCATGGCCGGAGTCTTGCAGTTTTTTATTTGCCAACAACAATCTGATTCTGAGGATTCTAGATTGACATACTTCACAACAAATCCCTTCTATGACAGAGTAACTTAGCCGCAGCCTGGCTAAGGTCGCTCGATGTGTTTTGCGAGAAAGAAGTCACTCAGACATTTGTTTGGCGCTCGGCAAATATGATTACATGAAAGGGACTTGATGTTGTAACCTGTGCAGTGATCTCTTTGAACGCTCAGTAGACTTGCTTACCAATGTTTCATACTGCGATCGTCTCAACAATTTCTTGCCAGACAGCCTTGACAGTGCTCGAACGATGTCTCAGGTCTATGAACATCCAGAGGCCAACGAGAAGGACTTGACTCACTCGATGCAGTAATTAGTTTTAGTTGAGTGGACATACAGACTGTCATTTCAAGATTTGAGGAGAAGCCTGTGACATGGTGCAATGAGGCTGCGATCGCACTTTGAAAGAATTTTGTTTTCAAAGCGCTGAATGTTGCAGGTTAGGGCCACCATTCAAGACTTGGAGCACCAGCTGAACCATGCTAGAGTCCTTGAATTGTGTGTGGATCTTCAAGTACAGAAGATCAATCTGACTAAGGCAATGCATCTCAACCAGCTCGACACAGTAACAGCAGCTTTGGAAGCGGCTGCAGCCTGACGCACAGTCACAACGAACGCTGCAGGTATTCAGACTTGTGTGTGTGTGTGTGTTGAACTGTTGAACCCGAGCGACCCGGACAAGTAGATCAGAGTTCCTTTTCTTTGCTCTTTGCTATGCTTTTTCCCCAGGACAGGCCAGTGGACTGCAAACTTGTTCATCAGTGCAACCAGCTTAAGGAGAAGCTGTTCTTTCTTTGCTAAGAACAGACACAATTGGACAAAGAACCGAAGAGAAAAACTCATGAAGAGCAAGCCAGCATAGGAGAAGCTGGAGTCAGAGATTCAACTTGGAAAGGCGATGCAGGTTACAGCGGTCACCTCAGAATGAAACAGGAGGACTTTTGTTATTCTTCTATGAATTCTCATAGGGATGCACTGTCGGTATATCATCAACGCGCTGTTATCAAAAAGGCATCAGAAGGTTTTGGCAGTGATTGGCAATGCAGATGCTACTTGATTACTTGCCCACCTACAAGCAAAGACATGCGGTGATCAGAATGATTTCCAGCTGCGGGTGCTTTGCAGACCATCACGAACTTGGACGAGTTTGACGGTGTCCATGATGCCTTGAGCAAGGTCAGGACTTTGTTTGTCGGGCTTCGGGTTTTCTCATGTGACCTCTTGCAGGCGATAGATGATGCAGTGGCCAAGAAGGCAGATCCCGGTCGTGCCTATGGCTCAGTCTGTTTCGTTCAAAGAACAACATGACTGAGAGCAATGATATGTTTGATAGGTGAGAATGGAAAGTCATGGGCAAGCTGAGGTCCAAGCCGCCAAAACGCTGCGGCGGAAATTGCTCGCGGAGGCCAACACATTTTGGCTTTACTGGGCAGCTTCTGAATTGACTGTTACTATGCTGGCAATATAATAAAGTAATTGGGACCAGACCTATGGCCAATCTTTCTTTGGGCGGTCATGTACTCCATTGATTCATGTCCGTATAGAAAGCAAGAAGATTCAAGACTTGGCGCTCCCGAAATCTATTCTGCATTGAGGCCTCGCTAATGCGAACGGTCCTGGGCCAGCAGAAGACCACAGTCGCCCACATCAGCATGCTACAGGACACGGGAGAGTTGCCTCAAAGATGACACATATACAGGTCAGAGAATTTGTGATGCACTAAGCCAACATGACATGAGGAGTTGCTGACAGCAGCCAAAAGTGAGAACGCAAATGAAGATCTCATTCTACAAGCTTCGAAGACCAGAGCTCAGCATGAACTCCATAGCGCATTGACAGGTTGCAGCTGTCCTAAACACAGATTCTCAGATCCTTGCCTTGTCATGCACAATTGCAGCCTTCTTTGGAACTGTGACCTCCACATTGTACTTAACTTATATTCACACCGCTTTGCGGTCGAAGCCGCCCGCACAGAGTAAAGGGAAAACAGACACACGTACAGATATAGACATCCATCCATGCATACAGACATACATACATGCAAACATACATCCAGACATACATGGGAAAATTGTGTGTCATTGGTCCTACCGGCTTGGCAGCAACCTGCGAGGAAATGTTAACCGGGCTCAAGCGTGAAGAAGCGTTTCGCTATGGCCCTACCTAATCACCAGCCTTTTCACAGACGGTTCTGTCTCGGTGCATTTGTCGGTCTGTCAGTCTGTCTGTCTCGGTCGAGCAGGACACACGGACGAACACACGCACGATGTCAACTGTCTCGGTCTGTCTGTCTCTGTCTGTCTCTGTCTGTCTCTTTCTGTCTGTCTGTCCATCTGTCTCAGTCGGCTTGTCACGGCACGTCTGTCTCAGTCTGCTTGTCTCGGTCTCTCGGTCTGTCTGTCTCGGTCGGGCAGGACACACGCACGAACGCACCCACAATGTCAATAATGCAGTGTTCCGCGGGGCGCGCGTGCGTGCGCGATGTCGATAGTGCTACAGCCCATGCCCGGCGTATCCAGCATCGCGAGTATGTGGTCGAAAGCCACATCCATTTGTATCAACCTTCAAAGAGTAGTGTAAAGCACAGCACTTCCCGAGCTGATATCCGCCCCCTCAAGCTAAAGCTTAGCGGCTTGTGCGAGCCTCCACAACGCCTCGGCACCTTCGGTGCGGGCGGACTTATGAAAGGTCAGGAGCAACAAGAAAAGCAAACTTTTTGTTTCCTTGTGAGCTATAAGCTGTGACCTTAGCTCTCAAGTGTGCCACGTCCCGATTTCCCACATTTTTGTCAGGCTGATCGCACGACTTAGCAGCGAGAGCGAGGTGCAGAAGCGAATCACAGCAACAGTGACGTGGCTGCAATGTCGCAATGTAGGGTAGGGACAAGTCATTTTGCGCAGCCAAGATTGACATGTCGATCATTGGGAACATGTTGCTTTATTTCTTTTGCATGTTGTACGCCCTGGCAGGCAGTCCTGTGTGAGGTGGACTCTTTCAAGGAAGCAGAAGGGCGGGTCAGACTCTTGGAGTGCTGTCCAGATTAGTACAGTGTTTCAGTTGTGGGATCTGCGTGGCCAGTGTTTCAGCAAGGAAGAAATGCCAGATTGGTCTCAAGATACAGAAAAATTTGAAGACTTCCACGAGGCTTGGTTTCTGTGTAACGGAGAATCTGAGCCGTGTCGAGCAACCCTCAGGGCTTCAAGAAAGTCATGGAAGATGCAGAGAGGGATCAGGCACACTTTGAAGCACCCACACAGCTTTCGTATCGATGAAACTCGCCTCTTTTTAATTGTGGCAGATCTCTGAAGTCCTGATGTCAACAGCACTCGAGCAGTCTGGGCCATAGCAAGTTGGAATCAGTCAGTGCTTAAGTTTGCTTGCACATGGAGATTTGTGTGAGCACACCGGCATGTGGCATCAAACAGTTTGCCAGGATGAAAACAAATGAAATCACATCATGTCAACTCATTACATGACCTACGGTTGGATCTGGATTTGATCATGTTTGCTATGGAGCTCACAATCACCATGTCCACCCCTGATTCCGTGGATGAAACTTCCAACGTGACGCAACCATGCTGGTCAGTTCAAAAGCAGAGCAACAATTTTCTCAGTCCCACTACAGTATGTCAATTCCATCATGATTTCAGAAGGCCTGCTTTTGCCAGGCTCGATAAAATCGAGCGGCTTCTGGTGGAAAAGAAGCAGACGGAAGCTGAAATGGGGCTGAAGGTTCCAATACTAGAAGCAGGCGGATTGTTTTGTGCACTTGAGGGATTTCTTGCTTGCAGGCAGCGAAGGCTGCCAAGAAGAAGGGCAAGAAGTGAGCAGTGACTGACTGCGGACTATAAGTTGTGCTTGGATGTGTCACCCCTACCGCTACCTATCACTGAGTGAAGGGACGAATGCTGGTGCATGATTCGGGAGAAACAGGTGTGAACATTGCCCATCATGAAATGAGGCAAACATTGATGATAAAATGGTCTTGAACCATGATTTGGAAGACGGGCATTTGACTGGCTTTGACTATCAAGTTTCAAGTTAAGTTTCCGTAAAATCTAGGAACCAACTGATTAGTGATTAGTGCGAGCGCTTATTCCTTGAAGAAGCGTGAGCTATCCTATGTAATTGTAATTAAGTAGGCGCCTACTTAATTAAGTAGGGAGGGGGGGAGCGAGCTAAAGAGAACATTGACCAATGTGTTGAATTTGGCTCAATTGTCAGTCCTGACAGTCAACAGGGCTTGGGCTTGAGACCAGCTGCTGCAGGCGCTGATTTGAGAAAAGAGCAAATCTATGCCTATTGACAACTTGTCAAAGGTCTCATATCTGAAAATGAAGAGGCTCTTTGTGGCTGTGGCCTGCCCAGAAATGCTAGTACTTCCAATGCTCGAGCCCCCTACTTGTTGCGCCAAAGGTTGCGACGCTTTGGTCGACGACTAATGGAATCCACCAGGTGCCTCGGCTCAGCTCTTGGAGTTGTCTGCCGTGGATACAAGTTGTGAAGAGAGACGCAAAGTTCAGAGACCAGAAGGTGGTACTATGGAGTGGTCTACACAGGATTGAAAGGGTTAAAACCCAGGAGCCTCAGGAGGCTTGACAACGTAAAGTCAAAGGCCGCCTTGGGCCTCTGTGAGGAACAAGACTGAAACAATGAAAGTTAGCTATGAAGAGAGCCAAAAACCTGGCTGATGAAAATGTTGCAGCTTGTAACGAAGGAGTCTTTGCTCTTTTTTGCTGCTCACAAGGTTGTAAATAAGTATATCTTTCTATCTCTCTTTGTATCTATCTATTTGTCGGTCTATCTATATATCATATTATATCTATCTATCTATCTATCTATCTATCTATGTACAATTGCAAATTTGCTGGGGGTGAGTGAGGGAGGAGTCTTACCTCCTTCTGCATATGTTGCATGAAACGTAGCTTGAAGATGCTTTAAGAATGCTATATACCTTGAATTTTTCTTGTGAAGAACAGGAAGGAAGCTCACAAGAGCTCTCCTCTTCTATCTTGGCGGTTTCGTGTCTGATGTTTAAGATTCAGGTTTAAATGGTTTTAGCTCACTTCGGTTGACAGGCGAGAAAGAATCGCCAATCCGTACGAGCAGGCCACACAGCCGACTGAGTCCCACAGATAAGCTAGACCAAGAGGGCCAAGTAGGACGCTACTAGGAACAAGGACGCTACTAGGGGCTCCTGGCATCACTACTAGGAGCAAAGACGCTACTAGGGGCTCCTGGCCATACTACTAGGAACAAGAAGCTACTAGAAACAAGAATTAGACTTAGAATTTAAAAGCTTGCAAAGGATGGACAGACACATTCTCACAGGATGATGACAGACGAAGGATTCGCGGTTCTTGATTCAGTCGTCCCAGCCCAGAATTCGCGGCAATTTGTGGCGTTATGGCAAGGTCACTCAGGCTTACAGTTCTAACGCAGAGTTGTCATTGTCCGCTCTTTTTTGTCCTTTCTTGTCGGAGGTGGTTTGGATATCGATGAGGAGCTTCGTGAGGCCAATCGAGACAATCTGAGACGTTCTTTTCACTTTAAAGGCATACATATACAGATACACCCATTTTTTTTGTGGGGGGGTAGGCTGTGAAGAAGTTAACAAGTAAGTACCTAGCTAGCAAGTAGTAGCAAAAGGAAGATTGATTTGTTTCCTATATTTACATTTTGTCGTTTGTTCCTTGTGAGCATGCAAAGGTTCGTTATAGTTTCCCATTCTTTTTGAAGACCTTTGTTGCCGACTTAAATTAAGTAGCAGGGGGAACTTATATAAGTCTCCCTAAAAATCTAGGAACCAAATGAATAGTGCGAGCGTGAGCTATTCTGCGTCCATGCTAGTAGCGTACTAGTGTACTAGTAAGGTACTAGCTACCTCTCCCTTACTTAATTAAGTAGGCGCCCACTTAATTGAGTAGGGAGGGGGGGGAGAGCCAGCGGGCTAAACAAAAGCAACCTGACTGGGTAGCTTTTTGGTCTTCAGGTCGCACAGAAGGCTGAAGAGACTGTTCAAGCAGTAGAAGCCGAAGCGGAGAAACCGACCGGGACAATCAGGAGGACTTCTTCGGGTACAGTACTGCTGCACTGTGAAATGAAAACGCTTGTTTGTGCAAAAAGTGGAAGCCCATGCGAATGACACGTCAATGTTTTATATTGGTAAGCGCAGTGTTTTGCGACTCTACCTCTCCCGTTTCTGTGAGTCGCTTGAAAGTGTTGGGCTAGCGGCTGACGCAACACACTGTCAGGTTTCACTGTCAGGTTTCTTCACTGAGAGATTTTTGCAACTTTTCTTGGTGCATCCGCAATGCTCTCAACACTCACTCGCGGCCATTATAGTGGGAGGTAATCCTCCCATTGACTTGAACTACATCAGTACCCAATTTAGATCACCCGAATCCTTGTGGTGACGACGCATCAAGCCCATGACAATGTGAACGATGACAATCTTGTGAAACTGATGACAACCTTGTGAAAACGAGGACAACCTGAAAATTCAACACGCGAACATGATGAGATCGACGGAATAGTGCCCGTGACAGCAAACATGCTTGAATAACAACTTGATAATATGATTCCAACCAGGTGTAAACAAACACATGAAACGCACCCCAGCGGCAACCCCTATTTTCCCACGCAAGACCTCGAAGACGGCACCCATTTGTCAAATGTGGAGGGTCATATGTGATCTGGCACCAATTGGAGACACAGAAGAAATTGAAGGGAGCTGTCAAGGGGGCTGTTCTCCACAAAATCCTGCACTTTGACTGCAGGAGAGGGCCGTTTTGGGCAACCTTTTCTGGGCTTTTGAGGGAGAAGGCCGTGGGCAACGTTTTCCAGACCATTAGATTCCCTTTGACTCCTTCACGGCAGGCATCGATGCCCTACAGCCAATTCGAAAACAAATGTGTGGAACACCTTCAGGAGGCGTCTTGGTTGGACTTGTACTCATTTTGTACTTCCCTGTTTGCGT